TACTTGTAAATTTTAATATGTTTAAAACTTTTATCTAGAACTTTTCATGCGTTAAACAACTTGTCTTGCCTTCCCATAACAACTATTCATCCGGGCTAAGTAAGGACAGCTTGTATTTTGTTTCTTTCTTCTAAACACTATTTGATTAAAGCACAGTAATTACAATATACCTAGCTGCAATATATGCAATTATATATACAAAAATATAATGCAAACGCCTTAATCCATAAAGTATTCATCACGTTAATTTGATATTATGTCAAGTGAGGCATCGTCTCAAGTGATAACTTGTTCTGACCATTTCACTATTCCAGTCGCTTACAATACACAATATAATATGTACATAATTTGTAAGTGACTGCATGTATAGTTTAAAGTAATTGTATTATATTTTATGTATGTTTATATATATTTATTATGTGTATACATGTATGAATTTATATATGATGTTATTTAATGATACATTTAAATTAATTAAATTTAAAAACAAAAACTGTCGACATAATAGTACCGATAAAACTAAATGGTAAAGTTTTAAGCTTTCTAAAAAAATTAAACATTATAAAATATATTAAAAATATAATTGTGTTAGAACTTTATGGTTAAATTTCTTTTCTAAAAATTGGATTCTTTCTCATTTGTTTCACGATTTACTTCACATTCAACAGTTTTATGCGCACAAAAGAAGTCGGTGCATGAATGACGATTAATATGTTACGAACTTCCCTTAATTTGCTTACTTATTTCTACATTGTTTTTTTGTATTTATATAGTATTATATTCTTTATGCTATTTTCAAACAATGCGTGGCTATAAACTTCTTTATCCTCCTTATTTGTTCTCATGTCGCTTTCTAAAATGGTATTATAAAATCTATAAAAAGACGAGCTTTAGGAAGCGATTTAACGCGATTAACTTGAACAGTAACATATGCCTCGCACTTATAATTACAAGCTCGCTTTTTTAATTACCTAATATTTATATCCTGACTATGCCGAGCTGGCATCGACAATCCAAATAAATCGATCACGAATCAATGGTCCGCTCTGCTCTTCTCTAAACAATAATATCTTATCCATAACGTGAACAGTTAAAGAGAACCGAACCGATCGTGCAACACTAACCGGTCAATTCTCTTTCGGCATTTGCCATGCCCGATCGTTAATGGCAAATTTCGTTTTTGTAGAACCTGCAGTTAAGCATTTCGAATGATACTTAATAAGACGCTGATTGCTCAAATTTTGCGCTACTTTTCCGGCAGATAAGTTCAACATTAACCACCGTTCCAAATAAAGAAACAGACAGGATTCTAAGTTCTACAAGTAATTGTACGCTCCAGGTGTATGCGGGTGTGTGCGTGTCGGTCCGGCGTGTCTTCTACGCGCAACCTCGTCGCCGCGCGACTTTATTATTCGTTGAGCACGCAAGTACGGACCAGGGCGTCGCAAACGGAGTAGGGATCGCAATTGCTGCTAGGTCTCCTGTCTTCCAGGTAGCCCTTCTTATCCTCAGCGACGCCACGGGGAATGCGGATGCTGACGTTTCGATTGGCCACCCCGGCACTGAAGTCATGGATATTGCTGGTCTCGCACTTGCCAGTCAGCCTGCGCTCATTGTCCTTTCCTCCGCGCGGATCGTACGCCTGGATGTGCCTGAGATGTTGCTTGCTGAGCTTGTCGATCGCCTTCTCGATCTCGGCGATACCGTTTTCGCCGCGCATCGCCTTCGTCGAGAAGTTGGTGTGGGCACCGGCGCCGTTCCACGAGCCGTCGACCGGTTTCGGGTCCAGGGTGACGATCACACCGTATTCTTCGGCGATGCGCTGCAGGATGAATCGAGCGATCCACAGATCGTCTCCCGCGTCGATGCCCGTGCATGGTCCCACCTGGATCCATAGTAAAAAACATGATAATAACTCTTCGTAGAGGGTCGAGGCCCGTAAAAGAACTTTATAAATTATATTTCGGTGAGTCTCGAGTTACGCAAAGTTCGTAAATTAAGTTTTTGATAAGTATAATTTTCAAATTAAACTTGCGACAGAGCAAAGATCCTAAACTATATTTCTACTACAACACAAACAGCTAAAGCTAAATCTTCAGTTAAATCGGAGTTTGTTGTCTGATTAGACCATCACGGTTAAATTTGAGATTCTATAAGAATCTCCTGATCTTTCGTTCATTTGTCACCAAAGAAAGATTGACTTCAAAGTTATAGGAGAACAACGATAGACGTATTCTCTCTGCTTTTCTTTATTTCAGCTTCGATTTACTCACCTGGAACTCCCATTGCGAGGGCATCACCTCGGCATTGGTCCCCGCGAGCTTCACGCCGGCGTAGAGGCAGGCTCTGTAATGGGCCTCGACTATCTCGCGACCGATCACTTTATCGGCGCCGACGCCGCAATAATAGGGACCCTGTGGGCCCGGGAAACCATTCTTGGGCCAACCGAGCGGCCTACCGTCGAAGTCCAACAGAGTGTACTCTTGCTCGATACCGAACCAGGGTTCCTGATCCTTGATAGTCTCCATCGCCTGGTTCGCGCGATACCGCTTGTTCGACTTCGTTGGCGTCTTGTCGCTGTAGTAAGTGTCGCAGAGCACGAGCTTGTTGTTACCGCGACGGAAGGGATCGTTATAAATCGCCACAGGGTAGAGAAATATATCACTGTTGGCACCGTCGGCCTGGTACGTCGAACTGCCGTCGTAAGTCCATGTTGGCAGATCTTGGAAAGATAATTGAGTTTGATATAATATCGTATAGAAATAGCGATCAATTATAAAGCAGGTCACGTTTACTGAAGCTTCTTCCTCAGCAAATCAGCGATTTGATTTTCTCCAATTACAATTTCCCGCGAGCAATTTTATGAAAAATTAATCGTTACTAACTTATTGATTTTTATATACTCATGTTGTACATATATAATAAATATTTTAATAATTAGTCTTTACTCTTGAAGGATATATGTTTAAAGTATAAAACTTTGAAATGTAAAGGTCTTTAAAAATCAATATTCTGATAAAATGTTCAAATTTGTTTTCTTTCCGAGAGAAATCTATCGATTAAATGAGAAACAGGTGTTGCCATTTATCGATATCCATTGATACGATTTGATCCATTAATGGCTTCTATTTTTTCATCAAACTTTTAATAAAAAAAAAGACATTCTAATTATTAACAAATAATTGGTACGTAATGTAATTAGCATATTTAATCTGTAAACCTCGATTTATTTTCGAAACATTATAATTTGAGTATAACATATATGAAATTTTAACACCTATCAAATTATTAAAATGCTTACCGGCAGGATGTTTCGGCACAGAACTCAAAGTTCTGGTCTTGCTACGTAAACCTTCGCCAGTACCATCAATCCAGATGTACTTCGCCTGGATCGCATTTTCCGGCTGAGGCAGATCGAGATATTTTTGCAACAAAGTCTTGTCCAACGCCGCATTCGGCGAATCCTTCAACATACTGCGCGACATAGTGGTACTATAACAAAAAAATATTAAAGATTAATAAAAATAAATGTACTTTTACGAATATCGGAATCATTTTTCGTATAGCACGGAGAATATATGAATTAGGAGGGAGCTATTATTGTAAAGTCCAAAAATCTTCTATCGAAAGAAAAGATTTTCTTTTCTCTTTCTTTCTTTGTCTTCTTTGGCTTCTTTATTAATATTGGGTATATTATAATTTCTCTCGATATATAATATATTAATATTATAATACAAATATATGTATATTTAAAAAAAGTTTTTTTTCCAAATTAAAAATAAAAAAGTTTTTGGGGATGGTAAATTAAAATGACTCACCCTGTATATATGTATATATATATATATACAGGGTGTCATTATATATATATATATATATATATATATATATGTAATTATGAAATAGTATAATTATTACAGTATTTAACTTATATTTCAGATAATTGCATACACGTGCCTATCATTGAGTACGTGATTTACGAACATTTTCTCACACGCCCGCTGCACGTTCCATATCGTTCCAAACAAAAAATGATATCGTAAAAGACAAGATCACGCATTTATTTACATTAGTTCTACTAATTTTGTATTATAATTCCTTTTTTTTATGTTCGCGTCAAGCTTTGCATGTTTAATAGCTCGATCTTGATATGTCCGATTTCAATAAATCTCGCATCGACTTTAGGCTGCGAGGAAAGTTCCTTTCGACTCAAGGATCTCATCTTGTCGGCGCGTCTCGCTCGTGTATCGTGAAGAAAGCGCTTCCTGGAAAGCGAAACCGTGACAAACAGGCTTAAGACGGCCGCGTGGCATCGCGCATCGCCCGTCCTCGATCGCTTGGCGACGGCGGCGACGGCATGACGCGCGTGCCGCATCCGCGATGCCGATGCAACGCGCGCGCGAAGGAAAGGCTTTAATTGTGGTGGTGCCGTGAAAAGATAGGTGCGCCCACATATAGGGGCTTCACGCGCGGAGCACGCGAGGCGTGCGTGCGCCTCGGCGTGCTCCGGGCTCCGGGCTCCGGCGCGGCGGCGTGTCGGAGTCGACCGTCGTGTCGGCGCGCAACGACGGGATTTTTCTTCTGGTTCTTCGCCGAAAACCTTCGCGGCTAAATTCTCCGACGAACGACCATTAAACCTAAGGTCGAAACAGATACGGAATTTCTCTGATCCTATCGTGTAATATCTGTTTGGTCCTATAGGGCTTTAACAGTTCAAACTGATTTCCATAAGTCTGGAACGATAATCGTTCTACGTGATACTTTCCGGTAGTTTTCCAACACAAATCTTTCCACTCCACCGGTGGAACTTTTACATCGCATAAAGTAGGACAGATATTCTTCTCCGGTATCGGACGATATTGGAACTTAAATTCATTTATATTTAATTAACATTGTTTTTCGGCTGAAGAAGACTCTGTGTAGTTCGAAACGTCCCGACGTAGTACGTATTATTGAGATTGAAATGAACTTTTAAATTTGACATTTACCATTTGCTCGATTATTGACCCTTGTTTTTCCATTGTTGATATTGGAACTTTTACTTTCTTTCAATGAAGCTTTTATAAAGCAATTGAATCTATATTACTAACGGTTTTACTTTACTTTTCCTCGAAAACATGATCGCGCGATTATAAAGCGCTTTTAAGATCCTAACACTTATGTACGTCGTGTACGTGTGTAATCAAGGTCCGATGCCATAAAAGTCGCATCGTGAGTGGGAAGTGATCGAAACCATCCTGGGACGAGAGGATCGATCGAACAGAAAATTTTCGACTCTCAACTTTCGTCTCGGCAAGGCTAAGTGTACTTTTTGTACAATGTTTTTTCCGGCGATTGCGTAATTCACGCTGATCGTGATCGAATGCTCGGGTTCGAAATTCCATCGTTATCACTGATTTATAGATAAGACGTACATCCGCGAGTCATAAAAATTGTTTTCGACAGATAACACGATTCTACGATTATCGCGAGATTCATCAGCTTTCGTACTTAAATTTTTTTTAGCATTATCTGTTTATCCTCAAATTGTTATCTTAAGAAGACATGCAACAAAGTGATATGGAATCCAGAATGCACAACTTTTAACTTTTTATAGATTCTTTGAAACAAATTTAAAATTTTAATTTTAATTTTAACTTTAAAATTAACATGCTTCTCAAATATGCCATCAAAGGCGCATGTCTTCTTGCAAAAAAATAAATCGAATGCGAAGATCAAACTTCTGTTTTAAATGCAACTTGTTTTACAGTTTATTCTTCGCTTGATTTCAAAAAAAACTTTATCAAATACATATTTTCAGAATTAGTCGTTAATACATGTTTAAAATCAAATTTGAGTTTTCTATTATTAGTTTAGTTTGCTATTATTAATTGAGCTAATAATAGTAGAACAATATTAGAACAGAAATAATTCTTTGGCTAATGTTTCGGGGTTCTGGTGCCGGCAGTTGGTGCACGTTACACGAACTTTGATCTTAATTTGGAGAGTGCCGATATGGTGCTGCGTTCCTAGGATTAATAACTGTAAAGCGAAAGATGTTCGCTTACGTCATTTCGACATTACATAATTAATGCCACGCGTCTTTCGTCATCGCTAAAGACACGTAGAACTGCGGAAAACGATTATGTCTAGAAATCAATGGATTTATACCTGATTTATCTCGTGGAATTGCGAGAGATTATCTCTTTCGATAAATATCAATTTCTAGTACATAGCTACTGTGTGAAAATAATTAATTTTTCAGAGCTTTATATACTTATATCCAGAACTGTGTGGGTCACTTTTTCCCAAAAGCTTATGTGATGTATCTTGTATATAATTGATATAGCATGTAGGGCTGTCAGACAAAAAAAATTGAGCCCTGTATTATCTTCGATCACGTGCGATAAAGAAGTCACTTTTGTGCAATACATACGTAATCATCTTAATCATTCAATCGATGAGTTATATGCTTGACGGATGGTGACCTACTTTTGTGACAATTGCGAGACGATTGCGACCAATCGAATGTCTGAGAATGCAATTGACAGTCTGACAAGTACAAGTTTTCAAGCGTTTTAAACCGTAAATAAGCAATAAGTCTTATTTATTTATTTAACAGCCGCACTAACAGCACTGATAATACAATATAATTTACGATATCTCGATGTAACTTGAGTTTTTCAGCTAGGAGCAATGAAAATCGTGTGACATTTTTCAAAATTCAAGTCAAACATATATAATATCTTGTATAGTAAAAATTTTATACTTTTCGTTGAGATGAATTTATGTTCCGTTGGGAATTTGACATTTATTATAATACTAAATTAACCGTTTGATTGAAATCGACCTCTTGTCATTAAATATATTTAAATATTATATTTAATAATGTATATATTTAATTAATCATCACTAATATACTTAATATTATTAAGTATTTACAATCAATGTAAATTACAAACACAATAGCTTTGCGAACAATTGCTTTTGTTCGGTGTTCCTCTTCGCGCATTCTCATTCGAATTTTTTGTTTTCGTTCATAATCTACGAGCTCGGGGAAAGACTGAAGGATGAAAATAAGTACGGAGGTTAATGTACTTCCTGCTGAACTCGCGTGGATGCAGGGTTGAGTGTATTCGTGACGATCAGCGACCTTTGCTCGATCCGAGTACACTGTTTTGCCATAAGCGGCCAATAGTGCGCACGTGCGCGTCAATGCGTCATTTTGCTAGTTCCGTGAAGTGGGCACCCGGCTTTAACGAAATGAATTTTTAAAAAAAGGAAATTGTAGCATTTTCTT